CCGAACACCGCTGCATGCGTTTGTGTTTCTGAGCTGCTGCGTGAGTGGTCTGTTACTGCTTCATGTCTGGTTTGTGCTAGAGTTTGTCGCTCTTAACACTCTTCAATTTGCTGTTGACTCACTAAAAGTCACCATGCTTTGGTGGGGTTCATGGGCATATAGCCACCTGCGCAAAATTGCTATTAAAGCAGTAAATCCTGCGTTTTCCTCTTTTCAGGAATTTTTTTTTGTGGAAATCCATATCTATCACTTTACAATAAGGGTCCCTTTATTAATGCTACTTAGCGCATTATTAAGCATTAATAAACTTAAAGTATTAACAACTGCTTAATGTTAAATGTTAATATTAAGTAATGCATTACTAATCAGACAACCTGCCCTGGCACTTTGTCCTAACCGTAAGGAATGTTAATAAAGAGAACCTTTGTTTATTAATGCTTAATAATACACTAAGTAACGTTAATAAAGGGATCTTAATAGTAAAGTGTTACCAGTCCATAAAAGGGATAGTCTGACCCAGTAATGTGATGTAATCTAGGCAGTACCTTGGTTTTTTTCTAAGCCCAACTCCTGTCTCATTGAATTGATCACCACTCAGCACTGGCCAATAGTGTTGGACACCCACACTGTGCGAGTGGGCTTGTTTGCAGAAGTACCGACATTTCTTTTGGACAAGTAAGTCTTTAAGAAAATGATAATAACTGTAAAACATTGTGTTTTAGCTCTGTTGGCCAGCCAGAGGTAGTCGTTCACCTCGAGAGGCATTGCTTCCATCTGTAATTGTGGAAATAGGGAGAGGGGCTTGAGTGTGATACAGTTTTTCCACCTCTAGATGGTGCCCTCTGAGAAAAAACCCAAGCACAGAAAAGCTAGGGTTTTCTGTCTTGGAAAATTGGGCACGATTTAAATAACCCCCACTAGGCATGGGCAATAAATCGAAAATTTATCGTTATCGAAATTTCAGACTTTTATCGAGATAATTTTTCCCATGTCAATAAATTTTATACTAAAAAATGAAAAGATGTCTGTAGGTTGGCAACGTTCATGTACCTTTAAGAAGCTGTACCACCTTGAGTCAGGTAAAAATGTGACTCAGTACATGTGACAGCCCCATCTAGCTGTTACTGCGCATACCTGTAGTTATCGTCCATTTATCGTTACCGAGGTGAAATCCTCAGTTTATCACGATATTGATTTTAGGCCATATCGCCCAGCCCTAACCCCCACATAAACAAACATTTATCATATTTAAGCTAGTTGAATTGGTTTTATCTCAGCGTTTACGAATGCCCAGAATCACGCACGTTGTCCTTTGGGTACGTCACGCATCACGCAACTCCTAAACCATGGTTTTTTTGGGAATCCTATGCACTTCCCTTGATTTATTACTTGGGATGATAACCAAAGTTACTTCATTACCTTAGGTGATGTTTTTTCTGCTATTTAAAAGAACATTAAAAATGCTCTCCAAGTCATTTTCCAGTAGTGCTGTGAGAAAATGCCTCATTTGGTTTATCTGGAGTAATAAATACCAGCTCCTACAGCTCATGCTATTAACCAATTATTAAATTTGCCTCCAGCTCCTGAGAAACTTTTGGAATGGGGTAGTCTTTGTGCCATAGAGTGGCCAAAGTGGGGAGCCATCACCTCCATCCCCTTTGTTCCGTCATCTGAATGGAGCCCTTTGACCTAATGGCTCGAGGATTTTTGAATCGGAACACAGAGAAGGACTGAGCCGAGGCAAAAAGAGAGTGAGAGAATAACAAAGACCATTATAGATCAGAAGCTAGGGTGGTTATTGTAGCAGGAGAAAATTGGACAGGTTGATGATGACCAATGTTCTGAAAGAAGGAATTTTTCCTTTGAGTGCATCTGCTTAACAGTTTGTATTAAGGGTCTAAATCACAATATGACATACAGATATAAAATATTGTGATCCAGTGTTTGCCCATATCTCAAATTTATTAGCAATACATTTTAGATTTTGTTCAATTTAGGATCCACCAACCGATAATAAACGATGTTACAGGAGATTGAACACTATCAATTACATTCAAATTAAAATAAATTAAAAAAAAAAAAAACAAGTAGACCAGCGGTTCCCAAACTTATTTAGCCGCGCACCCCCTTCTATGTCCCGACCATGCCGACGCACCCCCCCAGCCCCACATCAGGGCATGGCTATATATATATATATATATATATATATATATATATATATATATATATATATATATATATATATATATATATATAATCAGACGTCAAGCTAAACAGTCATTTGACAGAGTAAAAAAAAATATGGTCGACCTTTTTCCCCATCACTTTCATTTTTTAAATAGTAATTAATAAACATTCAATACCATTACAATTTCCTTTGATTTAATTTTAAATAAATATTTAGAGTGCCCAGGTAGCACACAAACAATGTAATTTAACAGTTTTCTTAAAGTAGGAACGTTTAACCTGTGCAGCCAGAGCTCTCTCCTTCCTTCTGCTCTGCGTAAACCTGAACTGATCACCTACTTGTGCGTAATCAAATGTCTATAGGGGAAAAGATGGAAACGATATAGCCATGAGGTTCACTTTTGCCTCAGACCAACTTATTGCTGTTTTATGGTGTGGCTGAATCTGCGATCCGCTGCCGCGCGGACTGGAATAACAAATGCTGCAGTAACATGAGTTGTGGTCAGGTTCATGAGGAGTCACTGGCTGGAGCGGACTCGATTTTAATACGTCATCCCAAAATAGAAGCTAATATCTTAATTTGACCTTGAATGAAAAATGTTGTTATAAAACCTCTTTAAAGTTTTTATCACGGAGGAGGCAGCGCTCATTTCTGTCTTCAGTCTGACGGGACTGCGCCGCGCAATGCCGGAGTTTGCGCAGCATGCGTTTGTTGAATCAGTGTTTGTGTGTGTGTGTGTGTGTGTGTGTGTGTGTGTGTGTGTGTGTGTGTGTGTGTGTGTGTGTGTGTGTGTGTGTGTGTGTGTGTGTGTGTGTGTGTGTGTGTGTGTGTGTGTGTGTGTGTGTGTGCGGCAAGCTCCATGAGCCGCTCAAGTCACCGCGTCTCGTTATTGGCGCTATTTAAACCAATGTTGTAAAATAACTTATGCCCAGCCCAGATGTGCTCACATGTGCACCCGTGAGCCGTGGTTCCGCTGGAATGCGTCTGACCTCTGACGGACGCACTCTGAACTTCAGATCTTCAGCACGCTGTTAAAAGCCTGACACGTTTAGAATGCTGTCCCACAGTCAGTGTGCTAATATAATAATATAATAATGCTAAAATGCTCAGATGGGAATCATTTCTTGATTTATTTTGTTACATCCACAATGTTCTGTGTGTGAGGTTTACAATGTCAGAACACCTGCATGAGACAGGTGTTAATTACAATCTGCCAGAATGACTCACCAGGGTTTCCCTTACATAGGCGTAGCCGTGGTGGCCCGCCACGGCTGAAATCCCACCGCCACGCCTGCAAGATCCCAAGTTTTTTTTTCGCTGTTTTCCGAAGAATCAGAGGGAACTACTATGTTGTCGCTTGTGATCACAGCCGGCGGGCAGCAAGGAGCAGGCAGGGCAAGGTGAAGTTAGAGCATAAGTTACTGAGTTTAAAATTAGAAAGGTAGCAGTGGATATAATGCTTTTTGGTTTACATGTTTCAATAGCATTAAGATAAACGAGTGTTGACGATCTTGACAGAGTTTCCTCCAGTGCTTACTAGGCCAGGTTCTCCTCCCCCCACCAGGCTAAACATCACTTATTCATGTAAATTTATTTATTTTTTCATGTCTGACATTAACCGCATCTAATACTGTATTACGATGTGAGCGCAACAGCGACAACTTAAGATCGATGTGTGAGCAGCCTGAGAGGTCGGGTGTTTTCATCTGAACCCTTAAAACCTCCAGCAGGCTACGCTGCACTAGTGACGTGTTGGCACGCGGCGCTAACAACTTAGCGACGTGACATGTCTCGGAGAAAGCGTAAAAACACGTTGGACGCTTCTTCTGAAGCGGGAAAATAACACTTCTTCTTAAGCAGAGCACGACGTTGCCTCGGCTCGTTCACGGCCGAGCCGGACTGAGCTCGATAACATTGACCCAGCACAGCCACTGGGTCGTTGGAGCTGCCCCGTGACTGCCTGATGGAAATCCAGCGGGTTTCATCAGACTCGTATTTCTTGTTTTTGCTGGGGACCCCCTGTATTTTACCGCTCCCTCCTGCAGTCTTCCCCTATTAAAATTTAAAATGATTCTGTAAACTCTGTGTCTCAATAGAAAAAATCTCTGCCTCTGCCAGCTGCAGTAAATGTAGTCTCCAAATAATACATAAGAGGTGCATTCATCTGTGTATCTCCTTTGATCCTCATTAGTGATATTGTCAGCACCAGAACAGTGAAGCAAAGAAAGATTCCTGAGTTTGTTATAATTGTATTTATTAGGTGCATCTAACCTGTGCTATTTTTCTCTGAAATGAGATCAAATCAGTGCTTCTATGGGTTGTCTCCAATCTGCACTGGAAAATTTTACTTTATTTAGAGACTTGCCCTAATTTCTCCCCAAGCCCCCCCGCCACAGCTGGAAAAATTCCTAGGGGAAACACTGCTCACCACCTTCAGATTTCTCCAACATCGTTAAAAATGATCAAATACGGAACATATCTTGCTATTAACAGCGTGCGCAGGCCAGAGTGCTGAAGCTCGGAGCGCATTATTATGAAGCTAGGGCACATGCGGAGGACACACACACACGCTAAATATACTTGTTTTCAATTACATTTATTGGGCCCACTTACTTTTTCTTTGGCCCACCCACAAATGAGTTTCTGGCTACGCTAATGGTGACATCTGACGGACTTCTCTGAGTTCCGCAGCCATTACACTTTTCACCTCGCACACCCCCTAGCGGCAGCTCGCACACCCCCAGGGGTGCGCGCACCACACTTTGGGAGTCCCTGAACTAGACCATTATTCCTGAGTTTAAGACATTCAAATCGGTCTATTTAAATGAAAAAATAAAAAAACTGTTCTTATAACATAGACCAACTTCAGAATAAAGCAGCTTTCAAAATAAAAGTGCTAATTATTATAACTTTTTGGTATTTTACGCCCATGCCGTTGGCTCGTTGATCGCATAATCGATGTATTGTTACACCTCTAATTCATATGTAGTTGTTTTTTTTTCTTAAGTTACTGAAGGACTAAATAGGATTATGACACCAAGATTTACTGCACTGTTGCAGATCCTGCTGTGTCGTAATACAGCAGGATCGTAACATGCACATAAATGAAGAGATTTCTCCTCCTGAGAAACTAAATAAGTTCTGATTATGAAAAGTCCTATTCAAGAATGACTATGTGAAATAAAGCAAAACAAAAAAGTATTACTTGCTTCCTGGAATTAAAATATTTCACCATGAGCTGCGCATGTTCCTTCTAATCTTTAATCCGTGTTCCATCCTCTGCACCTTTTTGCTTCTGCTTTATCGTCTCAACTGATTTTATTGATGTGCTTTAGGTCAAAGTTAATGTTTATGTAACATTGACAACAAAAAAATCCCTTGTGATTTTCTCCCTGGTTTATTATGGGATACTGCGTTGTTCTTCAGTTCGGCGTGCGTTCTTCTGAACACGACCTGATTTCTCACTGTGCCTTCATTCCTTATACACAGCTAATCGTGCATGCACAGCTGTGATGTCAGTCTTTGAGTGGGAAGCCACGGTGCATGAAGTGAGGTGCATGTTGGGCAGTTTGAGCCTGCTGTTGTCATGACGATCATCCTCTTGATTTGTGCTACTCAGAAAGGTGACTGGGTGTGAGTGAGGGCATAGTTCTGCTGCATAGTAGAAGAAAAAGCCCCGTCGTGTGCTTTGCATGGCAGAGGAGCTCTCACTGTAGGGGAGGCCTGTTTCAATCACCACAAATTATTTGTATTTTTTTTTATAACAAGCAAAGTCTTCTTTCACCAATCAGGTCAAAGCCCTAAAATAATAAGAGCACCAGGTGTGGTTTTAGAGCGAACCGACTCTCAAACCATAGGTGATTTCCAGAGACGACGCAAGGGTAGGTACTCCACACCGACCTGCATCTGTGTTTCATCCTTTGATCTCTCCACACACTCCATCTGAACTCCTTGCATGTTGAATTATAGGATCTCTTTTGTTTTTTAGCTCTTCTTGTCTAAATAAATATGAAATGGATCTAATTAAGTCTTGGAGTCCTAGCAGGAGAGGCATGTGTGTGCTCCTTTTGTGCTGAGAATTTCACACATGCCAGCTGTAAATGCCAAAAACGTTTCTAACTGTAATGTGATTTCTTCCATGCAACCAAATGAAACCATTTTCTCTTTCCTAACCTTTTTAATACAAGAGATTTGTTTTTATGCACCACAAGAATAGCCACAGCATGGATATTGTGACTGAAACTCTTGCATGCATTTAGAGCATAGTGGACGTCTCTTCTGGAGGAAATTGAATAGAGATGCTATCTAATAAAGGAGATCTTGCATTACCAACCGCACTCATGCACTCACCTGTGTACATTCACTATGTTCTCTCTATTATGATCTGAAGATCAGAAGCTTTGCAGAATTATGAAAACCTGTAGTAGAGCTGAAAAATATGATCTAAAGCTATTAATATAGTAGAATATAGAGATTTATTGTAATATAGTTACTATAGTTTAAAATAGTTTGACACAGACTACAAGACAGCACTTGTTTGACCAGAATAAAACAGTAAAGTGACCAATTGTATCACCGTTTTATGACGGCATCAATCGATAGTCTATCTTCAAACCCTTTAATTCCTTAATAATTTCATCTTTTCAAAAAAAAAAAAAGCAGCTGACCTGTCAGTTACTCGGTGGTAGCATGTGTTAGCATGCCTAATAGTAAAAACATTTTTACAAAGTCTTCCTTATGAAATACTCCTGGATGACAGACCCAGCAGTGTTTTTCCCGAGGAATGAGTTATTCATAACCCTCGCTAGCACCTGTGCAACCGCTTCTGTCTCTCTTGATGAACGCCAAACCTGCTGGAGTTTCCTGGATGGGAGGCAGAGGGAGCTGTGATGCATTCAAAGACACAGGCGAAGCTAAACTCCTTGTGATTAATACACAAAGTGCAGATAAAACCTCTTACCTCTGTTTTTGATAACACACTTTCCAGTGTGATTCATTAAAATCGGAGCCAATAGAAGATGCTTTTGATTGTATCTGATTTTACTAACACCTGCTTATTGATTCACACTCATCCCAGTTCCGATTCTTGAGTTTTGATTGGAATGAAAAAAGGATCTTATCACAATTGCTGTTGCTATTAAACATGTTTTATTGCACTAAAGTGTCTCAAAGAAATCTAAATGAAGATGTGTTGATAAGTTTAAAATAAACTACCAGAAGAAAGCTACAGATACAGCTCCTTCTTCCACAGTTGGCCCCGTTATTATTATTATTTTTTTTTTGTTTGTTTGTTTGTTTTATCCAAAAACCACTAACTGGAGTGTGTTTCCTGATTTAGTAAAGCCTGCTCCCCTGGAGATCAAACCACTTCCTGAGTGGGAGGAGACATGCACACCTGTCCGCTCGCCTGTCACACGCTCATTTGCTCGAGAGTAAGTATCCAAAATGTTCTGTGGCATTTTGTCTATAGTTGTACATTTTGCTAACACCTGGGGGTGTGTTCTCACTATGCTGCTTCCCTTTGAGCTCCAGCTTTAGTTTGAAGTGGGGTTACAGTCTCACAAAGTGGGGTTTTCCTCAAAGTGAAGAAATCTGGCGTCTTAGATAAGATATTCTTTCATTGTTTTAAAAGACTTGGGTGAGAACATGCCCTTTTGTAGCGATTATCACTGTGATACCTCATGCATTTCTATCATTTGACCAAAGTAACACCGATCACCCACACAGGTCTGGGATCTATCTAGTCTTTCTCTGGAGAGCTCCCCCTTCCTCCCAGCTACAGGGCTGTTGGATCTGCTTTTAGTTTCCACCAGACAGAATATATTTGCTCTGAAATTTCTCTGTAAACAATGTGAATGCTGCTCAGTTTCTCTAGGTTTCCAATACCAATACCAGCGAGACCCCCGTCAGTGCATAGCACGGCATCCAGCACTGACTCCGAAGATTTCGGAGAGCCTTATGTAGACATGGACCCTAATATGCACCCAGATGACCCAGTATGTAACACACAACTACTCTGATCAAACTTTTATTTTTTTACTTTTTAATGACAAACCCTCCAATCTGCAGTAATTTGATTTAATGAAATACCTTTGGCTTGTTTTTTTTTTTTTTTGGTTTGAATGAAGACTACGGACTTGTCACAGGTGCACTGTAACGAAGATGGATTGTTATGTAAATATTTACAAAGACTGCAAAGATGTCTGTGGAAAATCTCAGATTCCAGTCAGTTCTGCCCTTCTCTTTATGTCAAACCTGCCGCTGCAGACGGACTCCTCACCACCTAAACTCACTTCTCTGTTTCCTCCTGTTCTGCTCCTCTACTTTCTTTATCCTTTCTGTTTTATTTGCATTCCAAGAATTTTATTTTGTCACTGAGTAAAGTTAAACAAAGTTGGTATTTTCTGTAATGATTGATAAAACTGACAAAAGAAGTCAAAATAATTTCCGTTCTGCTCTCTGGGATTCTGCTCTCTACGTTCACCTCCTGTTTGCGTACTATGGTTTCCATTTTCAGATTATTTTGCTGTTAACAGTTTAAATTTTCAGTTGCTTTGACAAAGTTTACTGCCCTTCTGCGCTTTCATAACTCATGTCAATTTCTTTCTCCCTAGTTTCTCCATTTCTCTTGGCTTCACCAGGCTCTGGCTTCCTCAATTTTCCCTTTTCCTGCATTTTAGTCTTAACCATCTGCTCTTCTCTCTTGTTTCTTTTTGTTTGTTTTCTCTTTTGCAACTTCCTTCCTCTTGCTTTGCATAGAGAGGAGTCCTTCTACTGCACAGTCCCCATCACCCCTGTAAAGAGGGAGGTGGAGGAAGTTGACACCATAGAGGAGGTGAGCAGGGTTAGACACAAATAGCTTGCCCTGTCAGAGTACCAGAGGTCACCGTTTTCAAATGTTTTAATTAGATCTTAAACTTTTCTGTGACTGATAGCAGTCATCAACAGCACCTACAAGGTGTTTCCCAGGATTAAAGTCTTGCAGGGATTCAAAGATGTCGTCGTTTTCCTCACAGCCAGATAGTTTTAGTTTTGTACCATCCTTAGTTCTAATATCTCCATCTTACTTATAGTCCAGTTAACTGTAGTTGTAGGTCGCACATGTGTCCGAGTTGTCATGATAGCACAATTCTTTGTACTTTTCTTCAGAATTGTCATTGTTTAAAAATTTCATAACAAAAAAAAGGACAAGAAATACCGTCACAGTAGGATTAAATGTTGCGCTAGAACATAAGAGGTGACTGGCAACAGTTCAGTTGGTAAAGCGTTATTCAGTTATGGAGCCCTTTTCTTTTGCACCATCCTTAAACCACTTCAAGTGATGCAATCTTTCGAGGCGGCATAACTTTATTTTCTTTCACATTTCAAATGTTTGCTTGGCAATCAGATGTGTGTGTCATTCTCACTTGAGTAAAACTTGCTAGTCTGGTGATGATGAGGATCAGCTAAAGTCCCCCCTTCACATGAGGTAAAGACCTTCACTGGTCTTGGTGAAGTCATCAGGAACATATCAGGAAAATTTTGCAATCCTATCAATCAAATATCAAAGTACAAAGAATTTTGGTTATCGTGACAACACATTTGTTCGGTTAAATGTGAGCCAAGTCTGACTTGTTGAAGGAAATAAAAACCAAATCAGAAAAGTGTTTTGCTGGTTCTCACAGATGAAAATGACTGCACCGTTGACGGCGCCGATGCCTGCAGATGGCGGGAGCAGCCCTATGATGAAACCCAAGGGAGATAAACTGGTGGAGTACTTGGATTTGGATCTAGAGGCTGGCAAGTCAACCCCACCTAGGAAGGTACCGGTTCATGTTCTGAATCTAATAAGTTTGAACTATAAGACGACCATCTGCGGTAGTCTGAGCCTTTTGCTGAAGGTTAGATGTTTCTGCTATGAGACATATATACTTTTATGCCTTTAACCCTCTGGAGGCAGGCGTTTCAGATTTACTACGTTAAAACCTACCTACCTGGTTACTCCACATACGTATCATGAGCATTTTTTAACTCAGAAGTGCCCCTGAAGGACTTAGTTGTTCATCCTTTATCAAAACTTATTTTGAGCTTGAGAGGGTTAAATTTGTCTCATGGATGGGACATTACAAGCGTCTACATAAAATCTGCATTTTTTTCCTAACGCTCTTTGTGTTATAAGTTTTTTTTTAGACCACTCGAAAATTCAAAATAATGTATAAATCTCCATTTCAGTTTATTGACAGAACTGAGCCACCTCGAACAAAACTGGTCTTTTCACTTCGACAATTGTCCAATTAAAGTACTTTAATAAAACAGTTAGTCCATAATTCAATTCAATTCAAGTTTATCTATATAGCGCCAAATCACGTCAAGGCACTTCACATAATAAACATTCCAATCCAGGTCAGTTCATTAAGCCAATCAGAAATAATGTGTTCTATATAAGGAACCCAGCAAATTGCATCAAGTCACTGACTAGTGTCAGTGACTTTACAGCAGACCTCATACTAAGCAAGCATTTAGCGACAGTGGAGAGGAAAACTCCCTTTTAACAGGAAGAAACCTCCAGAGAATCCTGGCTCAGTATAAGCAGCCATCCTCCATGACTCACTGGGGATCGAGAAGACCGAGCACACACACACACACACACACACACACACACACACACACACCAGAATTTACCTATGATAACCTTAAAAAATGTCCTACAGATTCACCGTTTTCTCATCTTACCCTCTGATCGTCTTCATATTGGCTTCAAACTTTTAATTGATTCTCATCTAAACTAACAGGTGAAAGGTTACCCTCCTTCTGCTGAGGCTAAATTTTCAATAACTGGCGATACGTTAAAAGTGCCGCCCCCTATTCTCACGTTTAGCTCAAACCATTTCTGACGCACTTTGTTGTTGACTGATGCACCATGTAGCCAATGAATTTCTGTCAGCAGTCTCAAGCATGCTGAATCCTTGTAGTCTGCTTCCACAAATTGAATGAGAACGATCAGTGGCGGCTGGTGAAAAATATTTTTGGTGGGGCTGTGCTATTTTTTTGTTTAAACAAACTTGTGCTTTCTGAGCTTTGTGCACAACTTCACTATTTCCTGAATTAAGCACAGCTCTTTTATTTCCTGTCTTACATCATTGGACAAACTGATTAATCCAGGTGTGTCTGACTATTGGCAAACTGCCTTGCAGACCAAGGTTGAAAAATACTGCATTAAATTGCACATAAAATAACATGACCATAAATGGTAAATAGGCAATGCAAGAGGCAAGTAACAAAAACATTTTGTTTAATTTCAACATTTGAGTGAACACGAAAAATTATGAGCAGGTCACTGTTACAGTAATGTAAACACTACTTAGACAAAATGCCAGAAATTTACACTGTTAGGACTTATGGAAAGTGAAAACACTTTCATAGGAAATAATGCCATCAGTATCCTCTTACAAATGTCATATTTCCCACTTTTTGGGACAAATCAGAAATGTTTAATTGTCCCAAAAGCTGGGAAATTTGTTTGCTGCAGCAGAAGTGTAACAAGTAAAATGGAATCAGATGTATGTACAAATTTACTTGAAACACACATTTACATGATTAAATATGTATAATAGGTATGTGTGTTGAAATTAGTTTTTACAGTTATTGCACATTAAACATGTTATTAAACAAATGTCCCGGTTTGTGGGACAACCAAGGATTTCTGATTCTGATTGTCTTGTTCACAGAAATGTAATGTACAGCTTACCTCTGCACCCAGCTGCTGTTCTCCCTGTCCAAACGTCCTCCGTTTCTTTGTTGGCTGCTGCACTGATGCGCTGCATTCCTCAGTCAGAGAATGAATGGAGTCCCCAATGAGACACAAGTTCCACATCCACCTTCTGTGGATCCCAGCCGTTTTGAATAACAAACACGGAAAGCAAAATAACGCATTAGCGTGATTGCATCCAGCTAGCCACTGCTTCCTGGTGTACCAATTTTGGGAGAAGCGTTGTGTGTACAGTTTACCTCTCTCCTCCTCCTGCTGGCTTATCTTTACGTCGGGCTGATCTGGTCCAAGCTCTTTGACATTAAGTTTTTCCACCATAGTTCTCCTCTCGAACGGATGCTGGAGAAGAGACCGAACTGAATTCAGTGGCTGCTGAGATCCGGTATCCATGTTGTAGGCGCACTGGCGTCCATGTCTACGTCTGCGTCATGACCGTCACGAGGCACGACCAAAAACGTGCTGGAGTCGAGACTCTCCGAGTTCTACCCAACACCAACGAAAGCCTTGGCGGTAGCTCTATCGCCCATCATGCTTCTGAAACGTTCTGAAACAACGTCGACGCTGATTGGATACATTCCCATTCCTACCCTTTGATTTTCTTGTCAGCAATTGGACAACTGGTCTCGTCCTGTTTGGGCGATTGAACAACAGCACACAGCCTCCACCGCTCAGCAGAGATCGGCAGAGACCAATATATATATATATATATATATATATATATATATATATGATTTATTTTTGTTAAAAAACACACAATTAACTTAGAATATGTGATTATTGTTAATTTATTTATTTATTTTTTTAAATAAAAATTAAAAACAGTGGGGAAACTGGGAGGGCGGCGCCCTATCGCCCTCTACTGGCCAGCCGCCACTGAGAACGATCATGATTGGTGGAGCACTTAGTTCAGTGTGTGTCAGGCACACGAAATGTTTAAACGTCACTTGCGCAAATAAATTGCCCATATCTTTTTTTGGACTGATGATATCACCCATCCATAGTGTCCAACATTCTCAGTTCCAGTAGATGAAATATTTGTTATTTTTAAGTTAACCTTTTGTCTGTTCACAGAAAAAAAGCAACGGATTTGGCTCGACAGCGTCGGATGAGCGTGTTGACTACGTGACTGTGGACCAGCAACGAACACAGGCTCTCAAGAGCACCAGGGAGGCGTGGAGCGAAGATCGCCAGTTAACAGAGACCGACACATCCTCAAAAGTACTCAAATGAACTTGACCACCTACTCACCCTCCAAACCTCCAAAACCACCAGGCCTTTGATTGTGGGTCTGACCCGTTGCACCTCAACAGCAGTGGATGATGGCAACCACCTACCTGACTTTAGATTCCACTGCTGCCTGGTCTATGACAGCACCGTGTGGGGTGGCCCAGGAATATGCTTTGAGGTTTGAAAGAAGTCTGGATTAACCGGACTTTTCTGAGCGGGGGTGACATAAACTTTGAACTTTCACTGCCTTTGATAAAAATTAAGGGCTTTTTTCCCCTCCCCTTCATTTCTTCCATCATCTACAGGCTAATATTCAAAGTAACATTTACTTAAATTGTACTGCAGTCTGGTGGTGTTTTCAAGCGTAAATGAACATGCTTGATAACGTAATCACTGATCTGTCGATGCAGAATTACCACGTGGCATCACAGATTAACGGTGTTGATTTTTTTAGTTTCTGCTGTTTGTCTAAATTTGACTTTCCTTTTTTTCTTAAGTCATGAGGAAAGCTCAAACGGGCCGTAGTTTGGCTCGAGGCAGCGCTTTAAACTCAGCACAACAGAATTTCACAGATGCCTCTTCAATCCAAAGGCAGTTAGACTTGTTTTGTAAGCTTACCAAGTGCTAGTTTACCTTTAGGGTTCACCTTAAGTTTTATCCACTGAATACGATCAAACTTCCATTTGATTTTGTGAGTGGAACATTTTCACTCTGCTAGTCTAGATGTGCAAAAACTGTAAAAAAGAGTTGTGTATATAATAGGGGGGGGGGGTCCTTTATTTGTATGAACTTCTCACCATGCTTGACTCAAAGGTATCGGAATTCTGCAGGGTAGAATTCTTTACCCGTCTGATGGTTTCAGGACTTGTGATTATTGAAATGATTACTGTGAGTTTTAAGAGTGAGACAGATTGTTTTTGGGTTACAGAGAGAAAATCAGGTACTTTCTTTCTTTTTTTAAATCCATACTAACACAACTTTTCATCTTTAATTTATTTCTTTCATCAGGCCAGTGTCATGACTGGTTATAGATAATTCTGCAGTTTTTTTGACATGCAAATAAATGAGTTTCAGAAACACTTAATTTTATTTTTTTTTTGCTTCTCTCCACATTTAATTTATTTTAAACTGAACTGGCTGAGTGACCCACTCCCTCATGTTGTCTCAGATAAAAGGTCCGTCTTTACTCGCCTGTCATCTCTTCAGAAATCCCGAGCATGTGCTACTACAGGTTAAAATCGGCGCTGTACATAGTTTTGCTATTGAGCGTAATAACATATTTTTAAATCTGCCTCTTGTTCTTTTTTTTTTTTTACTTCAGTCTTTCCCTGTTGCAGTTTCTTTGTGACACAAACTGCAGAGCTGATGATGCTTTATCTTTTGTAACAAATCTCAACTGACAAAAATGAAATTTGAAAAGTGGACTAATAAAACACGAACTACACTTGGCTTGTCTTTATTCAAATTTACTTTGATAACCATCAGCGAGTCAATATGTAAGAAAGTACAAAATATGATGGAAATAATGTGTATTTAGTGTTATTTTACTAGTTATTAGTTTTCATCCTAATGGATATTGTGCTTTGTTCAATTTGCTCGCAGTCCCCTGCTCGTCTGCCCTACTGGTTGAAAATAGCTAAAACAATTGCAATGTTGCATAGAGTAAAATGTTCACTGGATGATAGCTCCTTATATTTATTATATAATTCACTTATTGCACCATATTTGCACTATTGTATAGAAATCTGGGGTCACAACATATAAAACTTATACAAATTCTATCTATATATTGCAAAGAAAAGCAATAAGAATCATTACAAGGAGTAATTACAGAGATCCATCTAACCCGTTATTCATTAAAAACAAAAACATTAAAATTCTATGACCTAGTGGACTACAATATTTCTAAATTTATGTATAATGCAAACAAAAACCCCTTCCTAAAAATTTGCTTGTATTTATGAAGAGAGAGTAAATATGAACTAAAAGGACATGAATTATTTTACAATACCTAAGCATAGAATCATAAAGGAGTGCTGTGTCTCTATATATGGAGTTAAAATGTGGAATAAGCTAGGTAATGTAATCAAGGATGCGAAAACGATATTTACTTTCAAAAATCTAATTAAAAATGAAATACTGGAATCATATACGTGCAAATCAATTATATAAAAAAAGCTATAGAAGATGTGTGTAGGTATATTCATGTATGTATGTTTGTTTATGTGTATATGTAGTGGATATGTGTGTATATATGTATATATGAAGTATGTGCGACCATATGGGCATGCGATGCACTTTAATGGATATATGCATGAATAGGTATATGTGCAAAAATCCTTTTGCTTTTTGAATTATTACCATTAATTTTTTATCTTTTCTTTACAAATTGAACTCTAGTTAGCTAACCAGTCAAGCAATTACTTTGTATAGGCTAATTTATAATTATTGTTATTTCAGTGTATAAATGTAATTTTAGTTGAAAAGGGGCAGATAACATAAGTTTTCTGCTTTCTGTTCCTTTTTCATTTTCTTGGTTTGAGAAACCTCATTTTATTGTTTTTTCTACTTTAAGAATAAATGAAATAAATAATTTAAAAAATGGAACTACAACTGGAACAACAAAGTGGAATAACCCTGCAGCAGCCTGCTCTAGCTAGCGCTAACAAAAGCAAATGCTAATGAGCCAACTAATACTGAAATAAACCATGAAGTAAAAAGATCCACGCTGTTGAACAAAAAATAGTAGTACAAATCCAGTAGCAACAAAGCCAGGGCATCAAATGACTTTTGAGGCCGCTTTTAGGTCCCTCAAATGAGTGTAGGCCATTACAGACTAAAGTGAAACTCAACAGAGATCGGATCGGCACTCCTAAGTTGCAAGTGCGACAAACGGGCCACAGAGGGCAGTGAGGGTCTGAGTGGCATTTCATTAACCCTGTAAAAGGTCCTTTTAGCACACACTGACTCAAGAAAGTGATGTAAAAATATGAAAACTTTGCATAGAATGCCTCTGAAAGGAAACTGCAGTTTTGACATGCTTTTAGCACCCCCTAGTGTCCATTTTAATTCACCATCATAAAAAACAAACAAACAGTGTGCTTGTGTTTTTAACAACTTAATCTAACAGCTGAAATGTCTCCTCGGCCTTCGTTAGTTTCTACAGGAGCGATTTAGCACAAAATCAAACAAATCAGCTGTGTTCACATTCTAAAACATGCAGGCCTTATGTCTCAGCTCTCTTGATTCCAAAAACTTTGGCGTTGACTTGTTTGACTCCTGTTGTGGTCAGATATTCTTTTTATTGTTTAAGCTTCATCAGATAAATGTTTTCTTCAGTTTTTCTGAGGCTCCACCATGATGAACATGTTACAATAAATGCTAACCAGGTATAGTTCGTCTGTTCTGAGGTGTAAACGTGGATTGCTGTCAAGTGAAGTTACAAATGGGGTATCTTGCTCACAATGCTGTTCAACACACCTGATTTTAATCAGCAGGTGATTGACAGGCTTCTGCAGAGCCTGATGAGCAGCTGAACAGGTGATTCAGCCACTGAATCAGAAGTGTTAGAGCAGAGAAACAACTAAAACATGCTGGATAGTGGCCCTCAAGGACCACACCCCTGCTCTAAGCTAAGACTGTTCAGATTAGCTGCTATAGTAAGATATGAGTTGTTTAAAAGCCTAAGTTGTGATTTACAAAATAAAATGTAACCTATTGTGTAGAACAGGATAACAACCTCTGTTTATTCCAAAGCCTAATTCTTGTAAAAGATTATTTTTAGATTACTTTTTATTATTATAAATTATTTAGAAACTACAGAATCCAATTCATGTTTTCTCCTTACGCCTGATTTGCAGGTGTGGAAAGTTTAAATAATATTTGTTCAAACACAACAAAAAAGTCAGAAATGTTTTGGTCTCTGCTCTTGAGTTATCCATCCACCCACTCATCTGGGATTGGGTCGTGGGGGCAGCAGCCTAAGCAGAGAGGCCTAGACTTCCCTTTCCCCAGCCACTTGGGCAAGGGCGTAGGTACAAGTTTAATATTGGGGGGGACACATTTTGGAAATCTAACAAATCTGTTGTAGGTCAATATATAGGTCAGCCTCACTGAAAAAAAATATATTTAATGATTATTTCTGATCCTAATGTGTCACGGAGTGTTTCATGCAGGCTGAACATGAACATAGTCTCCTACCGCTATCTCCTGCATTAGCTTCTGATAGAAATCTGATAGACGGTGAAACTCTAGGATTAAAAAAGCCTGACAGATGTGACTCAGGGCGTAAGGCAAAGCCCAGGAAGACAAGAAAATAACTTTTATAGCCCAGTTCACTAACAATCTGTTTTTTTTTTTTGTTGTTTTTATCGGGGGACCCATGAGCCAGCCAGAAGGGGAGGAGACTTAGGCTCCCCATTAGCCAGATCCAGGTGATTACTGGCCAACGTGGACATTTTGATTATAAAAAAGCTGTTTATGTGTCAGTACTGTTTTATTTTTATTTAATAATATGAATGTAGGATATATTATCTTATTCATATGGATAGAGATGTGTAAACAGATTTAATACAAGACTAAAGCTGTGAATATTCAGTCTGAATTGATCTGACTCTCATCAGAATATTTTAAACTACATCAGCCAACAATGCTGACCAACAATCAGAAAAATCTGTTTGCTTCTGACAGAATGAAAAAAGAAACAATTCACTCACAACAACAGCTGGAACTACGTTAATTTTCAGACGGACAAAAGAAAAAACAGTGGCCAATATTGCAGTCTAAATGCACCAGAAAGCAGAGTTTAACACTTATTTTTCTAATATTTCTAAGGAAGCATTTATTTTATTCTTAAGCCGTACTGCCCAGCTCTACTTGTTATCAGGGTATCTGCAGATTTAAGGGAGCCAAATTTAATACTTTTTAAGACCTTTTTTAAGGCCACTTTGACCAAATTTAAGCTATTTTTAAAATTAAATTTAAGCTATAATTTCCTAGCCTAGTGAACTAGACCAAATTCTTGCTTTGCAAAGTTTGGTCTAGGCATGCTCCATTGGAACCTCCACAGCTCCTACCAGGACTCTGGCTAGCCAATCACAGCTCTCTAGAGGGGTTTCAAACACATAAAGAGCTGTGATTGGTCCATAATGGTGGGCCAATCATAGTGCTCTATCTGATTAGTGAACAAATCACAGAGCTTTATCCGCTTTGTGGGCCAATCAGGGCACTCTATATGCCTGGTGGGTGGGATGATGCAACAGAGTGAAACAAGAGTATGTCACATTCATTGTCCAGTGGAATGCGGAGATCATTTGAAAGACAACGGTAGAACCCGCCCCACAACCGAGAGCGTGGCCAGACTAAATAATACATTTATTTAGTCTGGCTTGCCAGGCTAATAATTTCCAGCTATTGCCTGGAACCGGTGCTAACCACATCACAAACGTTGGATTAGCCATCCAATTACCATTAAACTTCCACTTCCCCATGGCACAAGCTCCCACTAGCTTAACCAGCTAATGTGCTCATCTAAAAATAGCCCCCTTTCACAACCAACTGAACGTGTACGGTTCCGCTTACGCCAACATCACACACAAAAAATGCTGAACACTAACTAGAAATTCACGAAAATTTATAGAAATAAAAGAGTCTTGTTTATTGGGCCTTTGGTAATTTAAGACCTCTGGAAACTGTATTTAAGGATTATTTGTCATTTTTAAGGCCTTAAATTTGGAAAAGCAAATTTACGACTTTATAAGACTTTTTAAGGACCAGCAGATACCCTGTGTTATGGGATTAAATAATTCAACTGTGTTCACTTATTATCACATCCAAATCTTCCTCTCATCAGCAACCTAAAACCATCTCACTCTTCACTGTAGCACCTACCTGCACCTCAGCAGGTCTGGCTCTCACTGCCTCACCCTCAGCTGGTCTGGCTCTCACTGCCTCACCCTCAGCTGGTCTGGCTCTCCCTGTCTCACCCTCAGCAGGTCTGGCTCTCACTGTCTCACCCTCAGCAGGTCTGGCTCTCCCTGTCTCACCCTCTGCAGGTCTGGCTCTCCCTGTCTCACCCTCAGCAGGTATAGCTCTCCCTGCCTCACCCTCAGCAGGTATAGCTCTCCCTGCCTCACCCTCAGCAGGTATAGCTCTCCCTGTAGCACCTCAGCAGGTCTGGCTCTTCCTGTCTCACCCTCAGCTGGTCTGGCTCTCCCTGTCTCACCCTCAGCAGGTCTGGCTCTCCCTCTCTCACCCTCTGCAGGTCTGGCTCTCCCTGTCTCACCCTCAGCAGGTATAGCTCTCCCTGTAGCACCTCAGCAGGTCTGGCTCTTCCTGTCTCACCCTCTGCAGGTCTGGCTCTCCCTGTCTCACCCTCAGCAGGTATAGCTCTCCCTGTAGCACCTCAGCAGGTCTGGCTCTTCCTGTCTCACCCTCTGCAGGTCT